CATATTTTCAGTTACAGGCTGAGTCATTTCTACCTTCTCCTCTCTGTCAACGTTCTCTGGTTTCATTTAAAAGAGTCGATCATCAGATATTGTCCAAGATTAACCTTCAGGGTGGAAATAGCTCACTCACACTGATGACCTATCATTTACCCATGCTTTGTGTGTAAATAAAATGGCTCTGTCCGTGTTAAAATATATTTCAAAAAATTTACAAAACTAAACAGCCTACAGTATTTTTACAGTCTTTATTTTACTGTTAAAATAAATGTTCATCAAATAAAGTCTAATGTTACAACTAATCGGAGATCCCTTTAAATGAGTTTGAAGAGCGAATGCATCTGTTTTGTGCCTCCTCCTTAGATGGACCACATAGAGATGATCAAAGCTCTGATTGTGTTTGGTGCTGACGTTGAGATTCACAACGACCTTGGGGAAACTCCAGGACTCATTGCTGCACGCAGCAGCAAAGGTGAGGGAAAAACAGAAGGTGCAGATCAAAGCATGTAAGGAACAGCAGCTATGATGAGATAATCTCGCGAAGAATTTGAWATGCCTGATTTAACAGCAAACATTTGATGTCATGGAGTCTCGTTAAAAGCACGTGGCTTTTTGTTGCATGAAAATATTTTTAACATTTGAGTTTTTTAATTGTTTCTTGATAAACTTAATATATTGCTATGCACCAATAGCAGTAGTACAATGAAACAAAAGAACAACTGTCCACAACTGTGTGCTTGTGAAGCTGCACTAACTGCTGACAGTAAAGCTTAAAGTGGYCTGTAATTTTACTCATCACTCATTTCTTGTATGTTGTTTAAAAAACAAACTGTGATAAATTCTTGATTTRTCTGAGGTACTTTAGGAACAAAGTTGTCTAATATTGAAGAGGAAAAAGAGGGCGAACCTTCTGATCTTTTGGGTTTTAAAAAGCTAATTTTTCCAAGTAAAGGCAACACAAAAATGATTTTTTTTTCTATTTAATTATGAATGTAACAGTTCAGTGTCTGCAGCGATGCTACATGCAGCCACATAAAAATACTAATTTTCTTTTTTTTTGTTAAAATATCTGTTACTTTAACGTCTAACATCCTGTTATGTTGTGTACACAGGAGGAAGCTTTGTGCTCTGAGGCAAAAGTGGTTTTAAATTGAGTTTGCTGTTATTTATTGACTTTTTTTGAAAATGCACAATGATTGCTATCTGCTTCTCTCTCTCTCTCTCTCTCTCTCTCTCTCTCTCTTTCTCTCTTCTCTCTCTCTCTCTCTTTCTCTCTTCTCTCTCTCTCTCTCTCTTCTCTCTCTCTCTGCTGTGTCTGCATCTTGACATCTCTCTTCTCTTTGTGCTGTTTGTGGCATGTGTTTGCATGCCTAACATGTTGGCTTGTGTTTGTGTTAACATAAAAAGGTCCTAATAGAAAGATACTGCTGGACATGCTGTGTAACGTAGGAGTCCATCGCTGCCTCCCCCCCTCCCCCAGCAGTCCTCCTGTCATCTCCAACACGACCAAACCTCGGGCCATAGGTAACACCATCAACCCTCAGCTTTCCTTCCCCTTTAGTGCTTTCAGTTGAGTTTTATCCTCCACTTAGATGGGACTTGCCTTTTTAGTCAAATTCAAATAAAGTGTTCCTTTTTTATATTCCTACATTTACAAAGTACTTAGAAACAAGTTGCTTTTTTGTACTGATATAAAATAATTCAAACCGTCTTAAACAGGACATT